CAGCTCCAGGGAAGGCAGAGTGACCTCTGATACAGGGGAAGGCAGAGCGATCTCAGCTCCTAGGGAAAAAAGGAAAGAGATTTGAGGTCCAGGGAAGGCAGAGCAGTCTCAGTTCAAAGGCTTCCTCCTTCTGGCCAGTCCACTCTGGGAGGGTCTTCTTATCCCCAAGAGTGCCACCCAGTCCAACCCCTGAGGCCCCCAGGATGACTGGGCCCTTTCCTCCAATCACACCCAGGGCTAGGACTCAGAGACCCTGACTGCCTCTCCTTCCCAAGCCCTGCCCTCCCTCCCAAGGAATGTCCCCTCTCCTGCCCTAAGCTCCTTCCAGGCCTCCAAACTCCACCCCAGGGCTCAAACTCCACCTCAGCCATCACCCAACAGGCTGCTCATCTCTGTGGGCTCCTCCTCTCCAGTGCCTCCACCACCTCCCTCCCTTCCTCCCAGATTCACCCCCTCCTCCTGAGCAGAAAGACGGCCAGGAAAAAACTACAGGACCAGGCTAACTGAAAGTAATGGATCTTATACTTTGAGGAACTGGCAGCAAATGCCTCCTGGGAAAATTGGGATGCTATATGCTGTTTGTAACTATAAATTTAGATTGGATTGGACTGAGCTCTCCCATTGTAATTGTGACGTTTGACCCTCTACAAGGAGACCAGACTTTAAGGGAAAATACACTTAAAATTGGGCATTAAGGAAATATGATTAGGAACTGTAAGAAAAAGAATTAAAGGTAATTGGATCAGAATGACTCTATCTTATTGGGGTGTAGGGTGTTCAGGGAAGAATTGTACCTCCTGTACGGGGGCTGCTGAGTTTCAGAGCTGCTTTCCGCTTTGGGTGTCTACTTGATGCACCCAACTCTCATCTGTGGCTCCACGAGACTGTAGCAAGTGCAGTGGCCACACCCCCGTAAACCATTTCAGCAGGTGGGCTAAACCAGATGGAGGGTGACCAAGGGGTCTCAGACCCCTCGTTGAGTTAGGGGGTGCCTACTCCAAGCATGCGAAGACTTCCTCTGGTGGAGTGGGCAGATGAGAACAATTTGTTCCGGGCCATGAAGGCAGCTGCAGCAGAATTATAAGACTTTACAAACTAATTCATAGTCCAGTTTGGTGTCACTTTTGCCAGCTACCTCTCTCTATTTGTCAAAGAAGTCAGATGTTTGCTGATCAATCTACTTAGTGCTTAGAGTTTGGTTAGACATCAAAGATACCAAGGTTATCTACTGCATCTTGAACCATCACCAGTCGTCTTTATGCTATCTGGCCACTAGACTGTGGTATCCATGGAAGAGAGAGTAAGACCTATGACTGTGTAACTCTGCCTCTGAGAAATCATTGTTGGAAAGCGGAAGAAAGATGGGTGAAATTTAAAAGCTACTGAACAGGACTAGTTGACAGGGAAGAGAAGAAGGGAAATCTATATGAGAAACTGAGAGGAAAAAAGGAGAGGGAAGAAATACAGAATGAGGTGAAAGCAGGAAAGAGAAGCAAATTTGTGGAGAAATGAGAATTAAAAGGTATGGCATCTTCTAAATGGGACAACAAAAGAATATCCAAATTTCTTTGCAACACATGGAACTTCTATGAAAATTAACCATGAGGGCACAGAGATACTGCAAACAAATGTAAAAAGGCAGAAAGAAATGATACATCCTTTCATTCCTTAATGAAATAAGAATGGAAATCGGTTCAGAGACCACAAGCAAAAAGATACAATCCCAAATGGAGACTTAACAAGGACATATTAAAGGACAGCTGAGTCAAAGAACAAATCACAGAAATTATAACTTTGTAAAAGCAAATGATAACAATGAATCAACACGCCAAAATTTCTGGGATTCAGCTAAAGCAGTCTCGGGGGGGACAACACATCTTTACGATCATATGTTAAGAACACAGAAAAAGAGGAAGTTAATAAATTTAAAAGGTGCTTTAAAATGAGGGAAACAAACCTAAAATAAGCACAAAAGAGATCATATAAAAATTAGAAGGGAAATAGACAAATATGAAAGAAAAATAGACATGGCAAATAGGACTAAAAATGGATTCTCTGACATGACTAGTGATGTTGATAAAACCCACAGCTAATCTGACCAAAAGAAAACTGAGTATCAGATCAATGAGAAAGCCAATGAGAAAGGCCAATCACAGCAAAAGCAGGAGAAATAAAAAGGATAATCAGAACATGGGATTCACAGTTTTATGCTAAAGAAACAGAGAACACACACAGAAATGGAGGAAAACTTTACAAAACAGGAAAGGCTCCAGCTACCAGAAAAGCAGATGGAGATCATGAACAGCCTTATCTCAGAAAAGGGAATAGACTTTGATAATTGTCTAAGACCATTTGAGCCCCAATAAAGGTCCAAACCTGAACTAACCAGCCAGAAGAAGGCCCTGGCCTAATAGACATGCATATGTGCTCTGGTATAACAGACTTCCTTTGCTTTGTTCTCTGAGTGAACCCAACAGGCCTCTTCCTTTGCCAGCAGCCACAAGGCCGGAGAAAGCTGACCAGGCGCATTCTTCTGTTTATGACTGCCGAGGACAAGGGGCATTGGAAAGGCTGGAGATGTAAAGATCTACTGCAGTGAGCACAGTGACACGTGGGGGAGTAAGGGATACCTGAGTCTGGGGCTTGGAGACTACGGGAGCGAGGCAGCACAATGGCATTGACAGCCCAGAGAACTCCCACGAGGCGCCGGCCCGGCATCTGTGACCAGACTTCTTAACAGGGAAGATGGGAGTGTTACAGGGGACAAGCAATCCCTTTGAAATGTAGCTCTGGAGGAGGGGCTAGCACCTTCAGTAGCAGCATGGGGAAGGCGCTGCTGGTGGCGGCACAGAAGAGGACGGGAAGGGTCGACTGGGACTTCTACGCGTGCGGCTGTAGAGATGCATGCACCGATGTACGTGTTGTTCATGGGCCACAACTGGGATGGGACCTCGGCCAGGGACAGCGCTTCCTTAGAGGTCCTCGGTACCTCAGACTGAGGCAAGGGGGATAGGGCTGTTACAGGCACGGGGGTAAAAGAGAGGTGCTCCAGTTGAAAACCACCAGGGGTAAAGCTTAATACATACAGCAGAGAGGAAGGCTAGGATATCGCGACTAAGGAGGTGACAAGGGGCTCCAGGAACGAGGAGGATAGTGTGTTGGAAGTGGCTCTGGCCGAGAATGACAGAGAGGGGAAGTCTGAAACGCCCCCTAGCCTATCGTCACTCCGAGGAAAGGGGGTGGGGAATTTGCAAGGATCCAGAACTGACCGGGTGGCTCTGCTGTCGACCGGAGTCTGGGTGGGGTGCCCCTGCAAGACCCCAGGCAGTTCGCCTAGTTTTGAGAGGGTAGATGGGGGTTGGGTCTTGCATTTCGTGCTCGAAGCACCTCTAAGGGAGTGGGGGAGGATTTTGGTGCCTTTGATGGTCCCTGCCTTGTACAACCCTGTGGAGGGCCCTCCATTCAGATTTCCAATTCCCGGGCTTCTTGCAGTAGGGACAATTACCCGGTTTGCGGTTCTCCTAGGGGTCGGAGGTAGGGTGGGGATTTGGGATAGGGGCTGTTAGCTGCCGAAGCTGCATAGTATAAACTTGATCCTTTTCAGCTCGAAGCTTCCCCCCCCCCTTTTTTTTTCGCTTTAAGGTCCTCCTC